GAGAAATATATTGGAGATTAGAAAGGGAAAACAACATTATACTGCTATGCAAAGCCTGCAGCAGGCAGGAATATATTCTCACACTTTGTCTGGGACATAAAGAGGTAAAAACTAAGCAATACCTCACCTTGTCACCTTGGATAAATTTGATCTGTTCAAAAACATGGGTAAATTTAACAATAGGAAGGGCTATTTGAAGTTTATTATGATAAAGTTCTCAAAAAAGAAAGAGTTCATAATTAGACATTTTATTCACTTCTGCTTGTGATTCCTTGAAAATTTAGGAATAGATTATCTAGAGAATGTGACTGGTATTTTCTTGCTTCTTTCTTCCTTTGCCTTTTAAAAGCAGAGCATGTGGGAGTGTAGGAAAAAATACCTTCCAGTTTCTCAGGCATTATTTCCCTCAAGATTATTATGACAATATCCTGGCAGTATTTTTGTATATGTGTATATATGCACCTTGAATTGAAAACACCAACAAAACCAAAACTAAAAACAGAATCTAAAACTCCAGGCACTTGTTAAATCTAAGCTAAATTCCCTGCTGGGCCAGTGCTGGGAAGAGAAACAGTGGAGCACTGCTTGGAGGGCAGCGTGACAGCGAAGTCACTTGGAGCTGTCACGTCCACCTGGGCAGGGCTGAAGAAGGTGTCAGGAACGGGGGAGACCAGGGTGCAATGAGTATCTGCCACTGCTTCATGCTGGGGGAGGGATCTGCCACCAGGAATATTTTCAACATGCCTCTGACAGAACTCTGTGCTTTTAAAAGCTCTGAGAAAGCAGCAGTAACGTGTAGCACAAGCAAGTTGCTGTACACTTGCTGGTTGTGTTCATGCTGTTCTGTCAAAAGGGCCCATCTGTGTCCTAAAAACCAAGATCTCTGGCTGTCTCCTTCATGAATCCTTTGGCATACCCTCCTAGCTGCTTCCCCTGGGAAGTTCAAGATGTTCTCAAGACATTCAGAGCATCTAGAAAAGGACACACGTTTGTCTTGGGTTGCAATGCAAGATGTAACCAAAAGTATGTATATTCTATTACCAGTTGTTAAAACCAGGTGGGGCAGTGTTCTTTATCTCTTTCATGACCCATCCCTCATAACTGGGGGATCTCTTCTGTTAATGGGCCGGCTGTTAAAACCAGGTGGGGCAGTGTTCTTTATCTCTTCCCCACCCATCCTCCCTCCAGGGGGATCTCTCCTGTTCATGGGCCATCGAGTCTCACTGCAGGACTGATAAAATGACATCATCCCATTGGGAGATGCTCCACCCAGGGGGAGGAGCCCAGCATTCCTACCTGGATATAATCTGAGACTGGGAACACCACAGGAGCCTTTCTCCAGTGGATTCCCAGAGGAAATACTGGACCCATCTACACCACTGGACCTTCAGAGGAAAACTACACCCTTCCACAGGATCACTGCTTCAACAGAACCACATCTGTCACTCCAGGAGGAGTGCAGCCACCTTTTAATGGACAGCTACCAACACCCTGACCAACAGGGTGTCAGGTTGTATCCCAGCTCTGTCAGTGGTGTCTTTGGTACTACTGCATTTTTATTTTCCTAGTAAAGAACTGTTATTCATATTCCCATATCTTTGCCTGAGAGCCCCGTGATTTCAAGATTATAACAACTAGGGGGTGGGGGGTTACATGTTCCATTTCAAGGGAGGTTCCTGCCTTCCTTAGCAGGAAGATGGCTTTTCAAACCAAAACAATATTCTGTAGCATTTTCTTTCCTTCAGTCTTGTTCTGGTCACAGGCATTGTACCAAACTGTGTGTCTTGACCCTTGCTACCACTGAGTACCACCCTCACAGGTCTTTTTTAAGAACAGCTTCTGACTTCTAAATCACAGCTACAGGCATCAGTATTACTATTATTGTTATTATTGTTACTATTATTATTTTATTGTTGTTATTGTTACTATTTTGTTGTTATGATTATTTTATTGATATTGTTATTATTTTATTTTTGTTGTTACTATTAATGTGGTGACACCACATGCTGAGGCCCCAAGCTGGTTACCTGCAGTGCAGTGTGGGCACAGGACCTGCTCTTGACTCCTCTGTTTTTCATCCCTACTTTAGGAGCTTTGAGCTGGGGAGAAGTTCCTGGCAGCCACAAGTCCAGGGCTGAGGGAGTGCAGGGACATTTTGCTGTTGCAGAGCTGCTTCAAGATAGAGGAGAGGGCCCAATTTGTGACCTCCCCAGCCACCATTTTGGGGGATTAGAGTTATCTGCTCTTTGGCAGTGCCCAACCACTGACTGTGGACAAGGAGAATCTTCTTCAAAGGTGTCCTCAGGCAGAAGAGCTCCATAAGGAGGCAGCAGCTGTGAGATTTTGCCGTGGTCTGTAGCAGTCCTGGAGCCAGATGATGTTAATATGGGTGAATTTACAGTCCTGGACTCCAGTGCAAGGGAGCTGATTGCCTTTCTTAGCTGTGAAACAGCCCAGAGTAAAGACTTCTTGCAGGGCAGCTCTGAGAAGGAAAAATGTAACAGAGAAATAAAAATATTGAGTAGGTGGCTGTTGGGTAGATTGCTAAAAGCTCTGATTTACAGGCTCAGGTGCTTGACTACAAAAGAGCCTTGGCTATTTGCCTGTCCCAAGGATAAAAGTGTGGGGTCAGTTTCGTTTGAGCTAAGCTTTTTTGGCCATCTAAGCTATTGCATCTGGCATTAGTGCACTGACCCATACAGAAAAAGAACTGATTCTCATCCTGCTTTAAAATTCAGATCAATAAAAATTAAGCCCCTGCAGTACTCTTCTTTTTGTTTTCTTTTTACTTAGCTCTGCTGGAAGGACTTGGAGGATTAATTTCTCATATGGCTTCTTTCTATTCAGGTGCAAATGAGCAGAACCAGTGACTGCATGTGTTGAGTTCTCTATCTTTTGAAGCTGAAGCAGCAGGATTGGAACTTTTTCTGGAAGCTCTGTGTTGGGACAGTCAGAAGCCTTGTGGTTATCATATGAATGATGAGGAAACTGCTATGTCACCCATGTGGTTACAAGTTTAGGCCAGGCCAAATGCCCAAAATTTGCTCTATCTTGGGCTCCCTCCAAGCTGCAATGAGAAATTTTTTTCATCCTGTCTCCCTGCTTTGATTTCAGTGGTGGATTTGTAAATCTGCAGGACCAGAAGGAGAATTACTGGCTGGCTGTTCTGACCTCCTACTCAATAAAGTTAATAATGTCTCCCAATCAAAACACTTACAAGAACTAAAGTAAACCATTATTTTAAAAAGTAAAACTAAATAATCCCGTCTTCAATTAAAAATTACCTAAAATGGTGAATCCACTGGTTTAAAGCTTGGGAAATGAGTAGTCAGTCCAAAATTTTAATATCCTTGGGATTTAACCAGGTTTTTAAAGCTAGTTTTTACAAGCCTACTTTCAAGGTTTGATAAAAAAAGCCTCACAACTCCCACCACAAAGTTCTGCTAGACTTACTATCTACTTTCAGTCTTCAAAGCGTGCGTGGGTGGTGATTGATGTAGATGTATTGCAGAGTGAATATAATTGTCAAAAACATTAAAGCTCTTCGAATTCTCTCTTTCTATAGAAAAATGAATCTACTCATTTTCTTTGCCATGAAATGCCGAAGTTGGTATTCAGTTGTCTTGTTTATGGAGACTGAGAATCAACACATGTTGTTTTGTTAAGTTTGGGTCTGATTCCCACAGTAAATGTGTTGTGGTTTGTCCAGAACTGGAATAGTCTTCTTTGCTGAAAACAAATACAGACTCATATCTTGTTCATATATGTAAGATGATTTGTAGGTGCATTACTCACACCTTTTTTAATTTGTATTTTAAATGTAATATCTAGGGCACACTTAAAATATGTAACCGCTAATTCTCCAGGAGAAATCTTTACCCCATTTTTTTTTTTTCCTGTAAGGCTGAAATTTATTGTCATTATTTTCCCTTACACTAAGCAGAAGTTTTTATTCTCTACAAAGCAGTGCTATATGACACATCATTGAGGCGTTGCACCATTTTGTCACCTACTTTTATGGATACTGAGACTTACAGCCCTGTTTGTGGCAGGCACCCACAGACACCTCCCAGGGACATGGTCCATGCCCTGATTACAAACAGAGCAGACAGAACCAGTGCAGAGTGAAGCAGCTTGTCTGGGATCACAGAGAAGATCAAGAAGAGAGCTGGGAACAGAAGACAGTCATCCTGCCATGCCAGGCCAGGCTGTGTGACTTCTTGTGATCTATAAATCTGAGCCTTTCCAAAAAGTTGAAGAGCACTCTATTAAGAACAAAACTTTGCTGGCAAAGCAGTGAATCAGGTGGTCTCTGACAGTGGCAGCTAAGCAGCACTGTTATGATAGCTAATTATTATCAAAGTGAACAAAACCCCAGTTTAAATGAATATTGTTTTAACTCTTTAAATGCTGACCCTGCAGCAGTGGCCGTGGCAGTTCAGGGTCTGAAGGTATCATTTCCAGAGTTACCTGCAGAGCTGACAGCTGATGATTGTTTTTCTTGCAAACCCTTTTTGCAAAACATTATTTGAGAAAATTTGGAACAACACTTTACCAATTTCCCTGTGTATCATAGGAAATATGTCAAGGCACAAAAATAGCTGCCATCAGAGCACTGCACTCATCCCTCCCTGCTTAGCTCAGGCTTGTGTGGGAAGTTAAGCTACAATAACAACAGGCTCCACCTGTGGGTATCACTGCAGCTCCTTTACCTGCAGGGAGGCTGGTGAACTTGGAAGAGCAGCATCTTTTTGTGCTCTTTGTCTTGACCTGAAGGAATCTGTACAATAAATTAGCAAATTGCCACAGCTTCAAAGTGAGAATTTTACCTACACTGAAATATACCCTTTTTTAGCTAGGTATTTAAATATATATTTTTCTGGAGGCAGGGAATAAATGAGAGAACCAGTATTTTGTTTTATCACATTATAACTGGATAGAAAATGAAAGATTTTGGTAAATTTTGGATTCTAGAATCTGAATGAGCGTTACAAGAGAAAAAACTGGATGTGAGGCAATCCTGTAGATTGCAAATACTTGGGAAAAAGAAGTAGCAAAGGCCATAGACTTTTGGGAACAGAAATCACGTAATTGTTAGTTTTGACCTTGTATATTAAGTTGTGAAGGTGAAGGCAAGAGCTAGGCTTCTGAATTTAAATAGACACAATTTCCCCAGAATGAGGGAATTGATGGGCATATATAATTGGATGATGCTACTGCAGGGTCACAGTGGAGGCGGGGAGGTCAGCTTGAAGGTAAGACTGCAGCAGCTAATGGCTCAGCAGAACCTGTTATTTCTGGAAATAAATATTTAGAGGGGCTGGAATGACTCTGTATAATAAAGAAATTATGCATGTAAGCTATGAAAGAAAGCAATGCTTGTGAAGATTTTGGGAGGGTTACATGGAGAGTGGTCAGAGACAAAAAGTGACTTAAAAGAGGGAGGAAAAGAGAAAATTTTACATACAGTCCATAAAATCAGTTAAAAAAAATCATTTTGTACTCTGAAAATACCGGTCAGAAGGGGTGGTATGTAGATTGGTTACTGCATATTTAAATATAGATTGAAATGTGTTTGTTACAAACACATTTGCTAAGGAGTCTTTGAAACAAAGGGACAGGGAAATCCTGATTTATTTTTTTTTCTTCACTTATTTGGAGTAGACTGCAAGGATCCTGGGAAAATGATTGTACATTCACATCATGCCATCATCTAAGTACATGGAAAATGCTTTTATAGGATGCTGAAGATTTGCCACCAAACTACAAGGGCTTTACACCACATCTCCAACAATCTCTGTCACTAACAAGGTACAGTTAAACTTTGGGTTTCTCTGAAGCATCTTGTCTCCTTCTCTTTTCCTTTGTGATTATTTTTTCTTGTGTTTCCTCCTTGATTTTGGTGTTTGCTGCAATGTGGTGTCATTGGGGGTGCTTCAATTTTAGTTTTGATCAACAAGTTTATGACAATGTCTTTTCCAAAGGAGGGAGTGTCCTCCGTGAATAATGTAGTGTTTTGTTGTTTTACTGTACCAAACATTATTTGGGGGTTGTGGGGTGGATTTCAGAAGAACCTTAGATGAGATTTTAATGATCACCAGAACTTTATTGGTTCTTCATGAAATATTTTGTGAGGTGATTGTGATTTATTCTCTGAAGGACCTCTGGAAATTCAACTCCCTCCTCTAATTAAGGATGGATTACTTCAGGTTGCTCAGGGCCTTGTCAAATATGGTTCCAAACATCTCCAAGTGTAAAGACTCCAGTTTGGGCAGCTCATTTCAGAGTTTCACTAAACTCACAGAGAAAAGATGTTTTTCTTTTCTTTATCTTCCTTTTTTTTTGTATTTTTTTTCTAGGAGGTGGTTGTGGTTTATGCACCCAGTCTCTAGCTGGAATTACCATCCTATCCATTTTTTCTTGTCCTATATGCAGCATCAAAAAATAAGTGGCATTGAATGCTGCTAGTAACTGAACAAGATGTTTGTGTTTCTGAATATTTTTACAGTGAGGAAAGAGTCCCCCTTGAGGTCACCTGCAATTTCAAGAGTGGAAACATCAAGAAATCTGGTCATGACCAGGCAGTTGTGGCAGTGACAACTTCTCCATGGTTTATTTCTGTTTCACAGTATTTGGTATCACAGGTAAATTGTGTTATATCTCAAGAACTCTGTCTAGAGAAATGCCAAAACAAAGCAAGGGTAAGTTGTATATGGAAACCTGGCCTTCCAAATGCATTTTTACTTCTCCCAGTGGTGGCAGCTGAGACATCAGGAATTTTTTTCTATTTCAAGTCCCTTTTAGGCTTGTCAAATAATGCAGTATTTTCTAGATTTAAAGCATTTCAATTTTAAATCCAAAGTCCTTTTGAGTAAGAGGGTACCTATGTACAATATCCAGTAGACATTGGTATGTGATTTCAGTGTGCTCTTAAGAGTAATTTATTAATTAGGCTACCATAATATTCATAACTGCATAATTTAGACCTGTTAATCTCTAAACGCAGAGATTTTTTTCCTTAAAATTGTATTCTAGCTTGTAATTAGTGTCTTGCAACAATGGAAATATTTTTTTTCTTTTCTCACCCTAAAATCAATTTTTTCTTCCAGTCTACTTAGAAATAAGCGAAGTTTGATAAAAATGTGGCATTTGCACCCAGTTTCTGGGGAAGACGTGGGACATGAGATACACATTTGGAAAAATCTCAAGATTGCAGGTGAACAATTACACACAGGGAGATGTTGGAGGGATCTCAAGGCAGAGAAATTGCAGCTGTGTGGGAAATTGTATATATCTGGATGCATTCACTGTGGAATTGACTGCAAAGGTAAGAAATTAAGGCAGTCACTCTGTGTTCCTGATGACAGCCATTATCAGCACCCTTCTTTCTCAAGTTGCTGAAGCAAAGCTTTTTTTATTAATTTATTTTCACCATCATTTATTTGATCTGTTCTGGTTTTATTCTTAAGAGGAAACAAAGGAGATGGAATTTCAAAGATTCCTCTGTGGTAAGTGAGGGATGAGGCTGGGATTAAGAAAAGAAACCAGTCAGGACAGTGTCAAGTTTCTCCACTGCTGGTGTGTTTTCCTTCCCCTTGCTTTGCACAGTAGCTCAAGGGAATGATGGTTTGTTGACTCTGGCTGGTAGGATCCATGTTCAGCTTCAAGTCTTCACTGAGGTTCAGCTGTTCTCTTAGTGCTCTATGAGCAGAATCTTGAAGCTGAATTTCTTGAGTTTGTTCAGTGTGTTGTACCTGGCAGAAACGTCCATAGTCCACTTGAAATAGATTTATCTTCTTGTTGGTTAAAGCTGTACTAATCACAAGATGAGTGTGCCCAGGTGGGTTCAATGCTTTTTGAACCAGTGTGAAATCTGATTTAGAGTCAACACTTTGCTCTTTAGCCCTTCCACAGCCCTCCTCAGTCACCTGGCTGACAAATTTTGTCCTCAAGTTTGCTGTGGGGGAATAACTCCTTCACTGGTGCCCGTGACAGGAATCTTCCAGCTTGTAAAACGTGTTTTGCCTCCAGGTGCAGCACTGCAGACATCCTCAGTCCTTGAAAGGGGACACTGTTCCTCTCTCAAAGCCTTTCTCTGTGCTGTCCCATGTGAGGGAGGTTTTAGGGGCTGCAAGCCCCTGAAGGTGAGCAGCACAGCCAGCTGGGGTGCTCTCATCCCCCAGAGCTGTGTTGGGAAGCAGCACTGACCTGCACCAGCTGAGGATGTGACCAAGCTCTTCCACAGCCTAACCTCATTAACACAGCAGCAAGTGCACTCATTGTGACTAAATCTCCTTCTTCTCAAGTAAACATATGCTGAGGTTTGTGCATTATCACTTTGAAATAAGATTTTCCCAACTTTGCTAATTAGCAGCGTTGCCCAAACAGAGAGAAACATATGGCTCGTGCCATGCTGACTTGAAGGCTTTGGAGTTCCACTGGAGAATAATTAAAGTGATTTTGATTTACTGGCATGATGAAGTACGAGCCACTCTCATTTGGCCTTGTGTCTAGAAGCTCTGAGACAATAAGGCACCTTAGCAGGAGAGCTGTAATAATTAACACGAGCCAGATTGTTATTATTGAGGTAGCTTTGTTGCCATTAACAATCATTTGTAATTATAAAGAGGCTTTACATAATTCATGCTAAAATCTCATGTTTACCTGTAGCTGGAACCTCATGGTTAGTTCAACTTATTTTAGACTGAATGCTTGAGAGATTGCAACGTTTTAATTCTACTTGAAATCATGTAGCTGGTTATAATGAAAATACTCTCCTGTCAAATGAAATGCTTTCTGTTTTTTTTCCTGATAACACCAAGGAACATGCTGTCCAGTGCATATTTTGGGAGGTATATATTTATCTCCATGTTTTCTTGCTGAAAACAGATGTGCATGGAAAGTGCATATTTCTTCACTGAACAAGTGAAAAATTTTAAAACTAAAATTTTGACTAAAATATTCAAAACCAGGTCAACATCTCCCCTGGAAATCAGACAAGAGGAGATGATGATATACATAAAAACACCTTCCTAGGAAAAAATTAAGGCAGAATTTTACCAGAATGTATGATTCACTCTGTGCTTCTGATGCTCACCAAGAACTGGAAATAAGTGATCTTATTTGCACATCATTGTAAATTTTACTCCTCAGATGGCTGCTTAACATAAGGTGTGTCATCTCCTGCAGGTTACTTAATATAAACACAAATTCCTCTGAATAATTTGAAATTAAACTGTGCAGTGTGAGCAGTGGATGTCATAAATGCACACTGCTTATAAATATACACCTCTTAGAAAATGCAGAATAAATAATTGATGCCAAAACCTTTGTTCAGAGGCAAAGGCTGTGAAAACCATGAAATGGGAAGAGCTTGAGCTTCTTGACTTGGAGTCTTGCCAGTTAATTTTCCAAATGGGGTTCTCTGGACTCTGTTTAATGCAAGCTTCTAGAGATGCATCTGAAATCTGCATCCGAAATCTGCATCTGAATCTGCACAAGCTGAAACAAAAGGCAAACCATGGCTTGGTTTGCATTCAGGATGAAATCTCAGGTGCTTGGCAGGCTCTGGTGAAGCTGAACGAGTGGAAGGAGCCAGCTATGTTCATGAACACTTGGTCAGATACAGTCTGATGGGGACAGCTCCTCTTGAAGGCTTCATCCTGCCCTGCAACTGAAATTGCTTTTTTAAAGTTTTGAAGTTGAAATAGTTTGACTTTTTCTCCCAGGAAGTGCATCCAAATTGTGTCATCTGAGCTACAGAACTCGCTTGATGCTATAAATGGGACTTTAGGAGGCTTTTGAAAGTTTGAAACAACTGACTCTTTAAACTTGGTTACTCTTAATTAATAGTGGAAGGTTTCTTGGCTTTAGATACTGAAACTTCTAAACTGGTGTAAAAATCTTACCTCATAAGTGGAAAACTGATTTTATTTCTGTAAATTACTGAATGTTTAATGTGTCCCTTTTAGAAAACAGATGGAAATATACACTTTGGGAATGTTCCTCTCTAATGCAGATGAGTGACTTTAAGTACTGTAGAACTGTCCTTTTATTTTTGGTGGTAGAGGAAGTATACTCATATCTAAGGTTTTCTTGTTTTATCTTACCAGGGCCAAATTCTGTGTTGGAAAGAGCTCCTTCTGTTTTTCTTGGCCTAACCCACTATGCACAGATGTCACCTCCCTGCTTTTGACCAGACCACAGAAGTCAGGAAAGCAATTTCTTCCCCATCCTTACTGGCATCCTGAGGAGGCAGGTTCCTTAGGACTCTGATGTGAGACAGAAATGGAAACAGGATTTTGCTGGAGTGGGATGCTTCGTGTTTGAGGAAGTCAAAGTTAATCTGTGCTTGAAGAATCAGGAAAATTTATATTTTGCATGGGCAGTGCCAACGCAGCTCCCTGTTCTGGTGGAGGGCACAAAAGAGACTTTGGTGCCTAAGTAATTTATGATTAGTTGAAAACTGTTGTGTTTCATTGCTCACACGTGTTCTACTCAAGAAGAGACTGTAAAATTGATCTGAGGCCCAAACTAAGAGTGAATCTTTGTCTCTCTCAAAGAGCAAAGCTCTCTTTCAAAAATGTAACGCTGTGTGTGACGCAGGAGTTGCCATGGAAAAATACATTGAGCCAATCATTCATGATTTATTTATAGCAATTAGAATGCTCATCCCAAGATCCAATAGTAGCTTTGATTTAAAAAAAAAAAATAAAAAAATCATCCAGACAAAAGATCGAAGCACGTAAATTGTTGGGAACACTTGTGAGTCTGTATGGTTAATATATTATTTAAAAAATTGACTATGTATGTTCCTGGACAGGGCTTTGAAGTGTAAGTGCTGCTGATATTTGCTTCTATATTTCTGCTGCTAATAATGTTATTGCTGTTGTCCTATACTTACCATCTGTTCAGTGCCTATTTAATGGGTATAGTAAATAGCAGTTCAAAGTGAGATTTTTCTTCTAATCATCTCTTTTGGAAAACATTTGTGTAAAATTGAATGCTTTGGAGAAATCTGTACACCTGTATCTTGCTGGAAACATGGTGCTCAAGATCCTTACAACTGGATAGACTTGTCTGTGGTGCATTGAATACTACAGGCAGTGAATGCCTCTCTTCTGATTGTTTTAAATTGCATTTAGTAAGAAACCTTTTATTTTTTTTTTTGATGAACATTAACTTTACAGTTCATTATTGACTTTTTTTAAGGCAACTGTTGAAGTATTGAAAATTCTGACCTCCCACACGTGGGGGGATCTCAACATCCAAAACTGTGGGTGCCCCATCCCTGGAAGTGCTCAAGGCCAGCTTGGATGGGGCCCTGAGCAACGTGGTCTAGTGGGAGGGGTCCCTGAACCAGGGGTGATCTTTATGGTCCCTTTCAACCAAACCATTTTATGATATCTCCTTTATGTTGGAATAATTATAAAAACCAAACAACCAAAATCACAAGTTTTCAGGTTAAAATATTTCTATTTCTCTAATGAGTGTGGACTCTTCAGGGTTTTCTTTTCCTTTTTTCTTTTTCTCCTCCAGGGAATGTCTTATGGATACTTTGACTCTGTTAACAGCTAAGGAACTTCTCTGGTGTTTATTGCCCTTGTCCTTCTATGATTATGTGGCTTGCTGAGTTTCATTTCAATTTGGCAGTTTGTGGGACTGTCAGCTCTCTTTGATGTATGTCTCCCTCAGAGGTTAATCAATAGTGTTTTAAGCATATCTCTTGCTTTCCATGAGGCCAATGTTGGAGGAATTGTGATTTTTAAGCTCTCATATTTTGCATTGAAAATGTAATGTTGAGGAGCAAAATCTACCTTAAGAAAAATCTGAAAGCAACTATTGCATAGCTGGTTTTAATTGACCTGGAGTCAATATGAGGAGTAAAAAGCCTGAGTTTTCACTGCTGTGGTGCTGGGTGAGGCTTTTCTGATGATACTTGTGGCTGTCTCATTCTGCACCAGTTCCATGAATCAGTGGACCCCTGATGGGAAAGGCTGCCAAGCTCTTGGGCTTGTGCTCCTCATCATCAGTCAGGATTCCTGAGAGGCTCCTTCCCAGGGAATGTGCCTTCATCTGCTCCCAGCTGCATCCCTCACATGTCCAGCTCCTCCTTCCACAGGGCTCCACTGCAGAGGTGTAAGGGATGGGAGGGTGTGTGGATAAAGGTGTGTGAGGCATGAGAGAAGGGTCAGAAGACAGGCTTGGGCAGGCCTGGGGCTGTCAGGAAGCCCTTCCACAAAAGAGAGGCTGTCAGAACCACGCTGGCCACACCAGCAGAGCGAGACAGTGGCTTTGAGGGTCTGATCTGAGCTGCTTGGGGCCACACACTGCACTCAGCTGGGTGAGGATCTCATCCCTCAGCTGCCTCCATGGCCTTCCTTCATCTGGCAAGAGGCCAAATCAGCTGCTCCTGAAGGGGTTTTGCTGTGTCACCTTGCATGCCACAGACTGTCTGGGGGTTTCTCTGGCATGAGCAATCATTTTGCAGCCTCAGAGAGATTTAAAATAATCTTGGGGTTCTTCTGGAAGCAGCAAGAGAGCACCGTGTTTGCTGAGAGAGCTAAACATCAACAATGCCAAAGCTGAGTAGAAGTTATACCCTGTATCCTGTCTGCAAAACCAAACTCTGAACCTTCACAGAGAAAGAAGCTGATGACCAAAAGATTGCTTTTCCTGCTTTGCTACTGGGAATTACAGCTACAGCTGACTGGAAGCTGCCTTTGTCTGCAGGCTGAAAGTGTGGCAAATGCTCTCCCATCTTTATTAGTACAGCTTTCACCTCCAGAACTGTAGAGGAGCACCTGGGGTTGGGATGACATTTTGAGCTGGGATTCATCAGCTTCAGCTGGTAGACATCTGCACTTCAAACTGACTGGTTGTGGAGGCTCCCTTCAAAGCTGATGGAGAGAAATGGATATATTTATGAACTGATGTATTTCATACCATGACAGCCATCCAAAATCAGTCAGATGTATTGAACCTTAGAAGTTTCTCCTCCTTCACTGATGAGAAAGGAGTCTGGAGAAATAAATTTGTTTATATTTTGCTCAGTTAAGTCCAAACCTTTCAAGTTGTATTATTTATATAAGCAATATTTCAGTCAAAGGAGGCTAACATCTAGCAGTGGATAAGCTGTTCTCTGCTTGTTTCTTTTGTGACAGAATTTTCTGGGCACAGATTCTTGCCCTGAGTGATTTGCCCTTACCCTTTCTAGTGATACAGACACGTGGACATGTGAATATTTGCATGGATCAGCTGGATCGCTGCTCAACTGTATTTTCCTGGACAAAAGCTGACAGGTTTTTGTTTCATTTTTTTTGCCTTAGAGTGAATATTTTCCAAGGTGTAGCTGTCAGCTTCCTGCTAAAGCTGAAGAAACAAGAAATGTGTTGACCCAGACATAGGACAGGGCTCACTTGCATGCCCAAAGGCTCTGTCTCCAAATCAGCTCTGAGACTATCTGCAATTCCCATACCTCCCATTTTTTTTAAGCTCTGGCTTTTTTTTTTTTTTTTTTAAATGTGTCTTTCTAGTCATGCATTTTATGTTTAGGTTTAAAACTTCTACAACCAAACATAAATAGCTGGGCTGTGTGTGCCCTCCTGTGAGAGGATGTTCTTGTGCTGTGCACAGCTGAGGCACGTGGACTTTGCAGTGTCAATTTCTTGTCCTGGAGTGGGCACAGCACAGTGCTGCAGCCACCATCTCAGGGGTGGTTGTGCTTCTCTGCTGGTCATGGGCAGAGGAAGAAAAATGCAAACTTAAATGATGTTCTTACACTGGTGAAATCAAGAGAGCTCAGATGTTTACTCTGGTGTAAATGGCAGGTTAAACTGACCTGCAGCCACATGGAGCTGGGAGATGTGTGATGGAAAGGGATTGCTGATGTCCTGGCTGGTTCAGAAAATGCTGCTCAGCACTAGGGATGTACCCAGCCCAAGGGATGCTCTAGTGTGCAGTGAGTGATGGCTGAAGATACTTTCTTTCCCTATGTGATAGCAGTCAGACTTGTGCCCTCTGAATCTCCCCTTAACTCATTTCTTCCTCGACTTCAAGGCTTTCCTTAAGCAGGTGATGTAATTCTGTCTGTCCCAAATCAGTTTTTAGTGATGGGACCTGGAAAAGGAAAGGAGTTTCTGCCAGTGAAGCCAAATGTCTGCTCAGTAGTGCACCTCTATGTTTTTTTTCCCACCCTAAATGTGTTCTTTGAAAATTACCAGGCTATGAATGGTGAAAGCACTCTTACTTTGCGTGGGAGGAATGGGCATGTGAAAAGCAAACATTAATATTTCATGAAGGGTTCATCTCCTAATGGCAGGAGGGTTTCCAAACCTGAGGCTATCACAGGGGTGCCAGTGTTGATGAGAACTAGCAGATTTATGATTTTCCTCCCCTCACTGGCAAACGGCGAATCATCAGAAATGAAGCCACAAGTCCTGCAAAAGCTGATGTTGGAGGCAGAAATAAAGCTGCTGAGGAGCTGAGATTTGTGTCTGCTGGGAGGTCCCTCTTGAACTGTGGCTAAACAGGGATGGGCAGCCTCAGATCCTCCACATGGATCCTGCACATGGAACACACTCCACAGGATCCCCACATCCTGCACGTGGAGCACCTCCACAGGATCCTCACATCCTCCTCATGGAACACCTCCACAGGATCCCCACATCCTGCACATGGAACATCTCTACAGGATCCTCACATCCTGCACATGGAGCACCTCCACAGGATCCTCAGACCCTGCTCATGGAACACCTCCACAGGATCCTCACATCCTCCTCATGGAACATGCTCCACAGGATCCTCAGACCCTGTTCATGGACCACCTCCACAGGATCCCCACATCCTGCACGTGGAACACACTCCACAGGATCCCCACCCACATCCTGCACATGGAACATCTCTACAGGATCCTCACATCCTGCACATGGAGCACCTCCACAGGATCCCCACATCCTGCACGTGGAACACGCTCTTGCTGACACCCACACCAACAGTTTATGCCCAAATAAACAACGTGATTCTATCTATAATTCTGATATTCCCATAGCAGTTAGGAGACAGTCAGGACAGGCCTAATTTGATATGTTCTTGGAAGTATTACAGCCCCCAGTATTCACCTCTCCTGGCAGAAGTGCAGTGCCTGGCCACTCGCACATTCCTGAGCAGCTGCCAGGAGCTTTGGCAGGGTTCAGCTGCCCGTTGTGGATGGAATGATTCATGGCCTCGTGTTGTGAAGTGCTGCTGACTCTGTGCCTGCTGTCTGTCCTGGCTGTGCCAGTCTGCAGACATGGGCACGTTTGCTTAGTTCATAATTCTTTGTTACTGAATTTTTTTGCCCAGTGCTGGAGTGACTTTTGACTTTTATTGATGGCACAGTAATCTTTGCTCAGTTACCAGTGTGCAGATTTGGAAACATTCTCTGTTAGATAATTCTCTTCTCACTTGCTTCTCATTGCCTAAAGCCATCCAAAATCCCCCTTGGTGTCTGTTCTTAAACATTTCTCCATCAGCAAGTGCCTGATTCCTCCTCTTTCTTCAGCTGGAGGCATCTGACTTTATCTCATTCCTCCATCTTTCCAGATTGTAACAAGCCTTGGGTTGAAAGCAAATTTGGGGAAATTTTAGCTGAGCCTGGCCCAAGGTTGAATTAATTTTGGAACATGCAGTGCTGAGGAACATAGAACAACAGCAATGAATGCCACTTGCCATGTGTCCAGGAGAAGAAACTAAAAGGCTCCAGCAAAAGAGCTGTTGCCACAATGTGTGCAATCCTCAAAATCACTGAGGGCAGACCAGTGCACTGCTCAGTTTGATGTTTTCTCAAATTGGCAACTTCTTGCTATTTTTAAACAGTACAAGCATTTCAGGATGGTGTGAGCCAGTGAGGTTGTCTGTATAAATTAAGATATCAAACAGCTCAAATTTTTCTTCTAAGCTCACCTAGGTTTGAGTTAAAGATAAAAAGCTGGAAATAAACCCAGAGGCTTATTTTGTTTATTCAACAGTAGCCCTTGGATCTTGGTTTATGACTCAGATTTCTATTCCATTCCATACAAATCCCCAAGGTTGGCAGGAGTGTTGATCTGCTGGAGGGAGGAAGGCTCTACAAAGGGATCTGGACAGGCTGGATTAATGTAGCAAGGCTGAT